GAGGAAATGTATCAAAGTGAAAGGCATTCCCCTTTTAGACATCCCCCAGAACAGCTATAACCCCATTGGACGCTTTCCAATCACCTGTTGTTCTGGGGACAACTCTGCAATTTTGGATTTCCCTTCACTTAGAAGAAATAAAGGGGTTATTCTCCCCAGTGGGGACACAGCACCGGCATGAAGTTTGTAGCTGGGCCCCCTGGACATCCAGCAGGCCCAGGTTTCTGACGGGGGGATGCCTTGTGAATAATCCATCTCTTTTTTTAAAGTGTATACATAGCCAAAACCTTTTGGGATAGTGTAGGGAAAGATCAACACCCCCTCGGGATTGGGGCGAAATGTCCCTTTACTTCCTGTTACATAGATGCAAGAGGAAGTTAGAGGAAATGTCCCAAAGTCAAGGGCATTGCCCTTTTAGACATCCCCGGAACAGGTATCCCCATTGGAAGCTTTCCAATCACCTCTTGTTCTGGGGACAACTTTGCAATTTTGGATTTCCCTTCACTTAGTAGAGATAAAGGGGTAAATCTCCCCAGTGGGGACACAAATACAATTTTGGGAAGCTATAAAAGAGCTGAGAGAGGGTCTATCCCTTCCCCACTCCACCCAATAAACGTTGTGCTTAGAGATACACTTTAAGTGGTTCCTCTTGCATTCACTGTGTCTGAAAAAACAAGGCAGCAAACCGGCACAGCTTTGTAATTACTTATTTAATATTTAAAATAAAAAATAAATTTACAAGTTTCCATTCCAATTTGTACAAGTGAAAAACTTATATTTAGACAACAATACTCAGACATTGGCTGTGGTGTTGCCTGTGGCATTAGAACAGTAGGTGAGATGTAGTATATGGAGTTCCACTATTGAGAAGGGGCAGCAAAAAGCTTCTTTTTTTTTTGGTTCACAGTCATAAGAGTGTTGATGGGTCTCTGTTGCCTTATTTCTAAAATCTGCCCCCTGCAAAAGAAGACTTACCCCTTCGGCAGGCAAAGAGTCCTTGCTTCGCTCTCTTGCAACACTATGGCCTCTGGCAGAATCTTTAGCACCTGACACTTCCTTGTGTGTTGGATGCCTGTGTTCCCCCCACCAAGCACTCTGGTTATATCTGTCAGCCCACTGCAGGACGTGGGGGCCAGTGGGAAGGTCTTCAGCACATGGTGGAGGACCAGGCATCCGACACACCCAGATAGGTGCTTATGGTTCTTCTGAAGAAAAGATCCACCCCATCAGCATGGGTGTTAATCGTCTCCTTTTACAGGCAACCTTTTTTTTAAAACATTTTTAGAAAGAGGCAGAGTCCCCTAAAAAACTGTCACTTTGCCTATTCAGGACACAGTAACAGTGACTTCCTGACAGCCCACCCTAGCAAGACGTACTCAACAAATCCATGCTCCATCAGAGCCTTCACTCCATTGTACATGGAGCAGTTCTTCTGGGTATAGGACGGCATGTGGCTTCCCCCATGTGACAGTACTTGAGCCTGAGTTGCCTAGTGCCAGGTCCAAATAATGCCACAGAGCGGCCATTGATATAGTAAGCTTCAACACTCAGGGTGGACTCCTGCAGCGAGGGAGTAGGAATTGGTCGGGGTGGACAATTGGGAGGCACCATCACTTTCCCCTAGATGGGCTAGTGACAGTGTCTCTTTAGAATTGGCACTCAGAGATGATAAATGATTCAATGTTACATATGATCTTCTACAATGGTCAGAACAGAAACTTTGATCCATGATCCTTATTCACCATTACGTTTTTCCGTTCACGTCTGTGATAGTTGGGAGTCATCAGTAAATGTATTATATACAGGGGTATTTATAAAACGTGACTATCACAGCATACCACTTTCTTTACATAGGTGGCCAGGAAGAGTATGTAAATGCATATGTATTTTACAGTCCTTTTGTTTCTCTGTAATGACTGCTACAGGTTATGGTTTATGGAAATAAAACTTGTAAAGTATTTCGGTTGAAAAGCAATAAAGTACGTGTATTTTGTACATACTGGAGATCATATGACAATATACCATAATAGATCATATGTCATGATTGTTGTACATTTATTGCCGCAAGTTTGTGGACACCTGACCAGCTTACTATATGGCCGAACATATGTGAACCCCCTCCAAATGATGAGTTCAGGTGTTTCTAACGCAGGTTCTTTTAATTCTATACCATACAAAGATATTTTAGACAATTGAGCTTTTCCAACCTTGTGGAAATAGTTTGGTGCAGGCCCTTTTCTGTTCCTGCATGACTGTCCCCGTGTACAAAGCCAGCTACATAAATGGTTTGACCAGCTTGGAGTGGAGGAACCAGAGTGGCCTGCACAGAGCCCTGACCTCAATCCTACTGAACATGACTGTGCCCTGTGTACAAAGCCAGCTCAAAAAATGGTTTCACCAGTTTGGTGTGGAGGAATCTGAGTGTCCTGCACAGAGCCCTGACCTCAACCCTACTGAACATGACTGTCCCCTGTGTACAAAGCCAGCTCAATAAATGGTTTCACCAGTTTGGTGTGAAGGAAACTGAGTGTCCTGCACAGAGCCCTGACCTCAACCCTACTGAACATGACTGTCCCCTGTGTACAAAGCCAGCTCAATAAATGGTTTCACCAGTTTGGTGTGAAGGAAACTGAGTGTCCTGCACAGAGCCCTGACCTCAACCCTACTGAACATGACTGTCCCCTGTGTACAAAGCCAGCTCAATAAATGGTTTCACCAGTTTGGTGTGAAGGAAACTGAGTGTCCTGCACAGAGCCCTGACCTCAACTCTACTGAACATGACTGTCCCCTCTGTACAAAGCCAACTCAATAAAGACATTGTTTGACCAGCTTGGTGGGGAGGAACCAGAGTGTCCTGCACAGAGCCCTAACTTCAACCCTACTGAACATGACTGTCCCATGTACAAAGCCAGCTCCATAAATGGTTTCACCAGTTTGGTGTGGAGGAACCTGAGTGTCTTGCACAGAGCCCTGACCTCAACCCTACTCAACATGACTGTTCTCTGTGTACAAAGCCAGCTCAATAAAGAAATGGTTTGACCAGCTTGGTATGGAGGAACCTGAGTGGCCTGCCCAGCACCAACACCTCAACTCTACCTTTGGAATTAATTAGTACATTGATTGCCAGCTAGGTCTTCTCCAAAATCAGTACCTCACCACACAAATGGCCACCAAATCCCACAGACACCCTCTATAATCTTGTGGAAAGCCTTCCTAGAAGAGTGGAGGATGTTGTAGCCACAAAGTGTAGACCACTCCAAATCAATGGGCATGTTCTGGAAAGGGATGTCCATCAAGCTCACCTAGGTGAGAGGGTCAGGTATCAACAAACGTTTGGTCATGAAGTGTAGCTAAAATCCAGTTATTAGACATACATTATTTGTTCATGTGTTGACAGAAATCCGGGCCTTGGAGTGTTTCCATTTTTGATTCATTTCTGCCCTTTGATTCTTTTTTACCCAGCTGTTGGATAGAAGTATTTTGGATCCAGCATGTCCACAAACATATAATTGAAGATGCTTACGTAACATTTTGTTCATGGCTTCTTGCCATGAAGGTTCACTTATTACATCAACTTACAAAGAGATAGATCATGTTAGGCACATGAGGTCAGTTTTAGTCCTCCACGGAGGTAAATGGAAGTTTTCCATCCATCTGTAGAAAACTTGTAAAGGTCAACTCTCCTTTTGGCTGTTGAACACGCATGGTGATCTGTGATATTGCGCGAGTTGATTCTTGTTAAAATAAGTTATGACTCTCTATGTCGAAGTCACATAAACCCAACTGTTGCCTAGTTCAGATATCCTATCATATTCATTTATGATCTCCTGTAGCACGCCATTAAGGTCTTGTTCATTCTAAATCCAGTTCTATCTTACACAGTGTTCGTTCCAGCACCATATATATAAACCAGTATAGGTTACTTATTGCAGAAAAGGGGCAGCCGCTCTACAGAAGCTTTGTCTGTGCTATTGAATGAGCCGGTGACTTTTGTCTTTCAAACTGTTCATGGACAAGGGTAGGCTTGAAGATCCCTAAAAGTCCACTCTTGGTATTGCTGTTATCTGTTGAGGAAATCTCTGAAGGTTCTCATTGATCGATGTCATGGTATATCTGGTAGTAGTTTGTTATATTCAATTCGACTTGTTGTGTAGGGCTGAAGACGTTTTCTTTTTTTTAATAAATTCTTTATTATATATTTTAAAAGCTTTGACGGTGATCACAAGAAGAGAAAAACAAGTGCATAAGTAGCAAATAGTTGCTGTCTCGGGCGGTCATAAAGAAAATACACCAAATGCACTGCGATGTATATGACAAAGTAAACAAAATAAGAAATAGGCCAGTAGTTACTAGGTCACTAAATAGAGAGAGATGGTAGTAGGGCATATACCTAAAAAGGGTGGGGGAAACAGGAAAGGCAGGGAGGAGATGGGATAAGGTTTCTCCATCAGGAGCAGGTCAGCGTTCTCCTATCTGAGGGTAAGGTAGTCAGGGGACCGAATGTATTCCAACCAGGGGAACCAGGTTCGAGCAACTGAGGCAGAGGTATGTTTAATGGAGCTTGTGAGATTGAAGACGTTTTCTCACTCATCCAAGCTCGTTAGAACTGAGGAAGACACTTGGATGAAGTGTGATCATCAACATTACAGAACAAGCCCAGTTGAATATAACTACGACTAGGTCCCTATTGAGGAAAAGATCATTCCGCTGTACAATAAAAAAATGCTGCAGATCCTAAAACACGACTGGATGATAAATGTTTTGGTCTCAGGAATATTACAGTTAAAAGTGTTTTTCAAAGCTCCGTACAATGAAAGGCATAGTGTCAAATGGAAGACTTTGTAGACAAGTTTTTTTCCCTTAATGAACGTTGGCTTTCAGAAAAAAAAAGTATCGGAGTCCAGTTGATGCAATTTCATAAAAACAGTAAAAAGTCTTCTTTTGGCGTTTTTGTTTTTAACGCTCATGAGGACCTCATGAACTTTATTCGCTCTGCTTTATTCATATTGTTCTTTTAGAACTCCCGTTGAATGTCTCTGGGCCTTATTTACAATAAACTGACTTTTTCGAAAGCGTTTTCAGTTCTGATGCCTTTTCATGTGTAGGGCAAGGTGGTCCGAGCGGGAAAAGCAGCGGCCGCATGCTGCACACTTGAAGGGCTTGGCGCCTGTGTGTTTACGGTAGTGTCTTGTGAGCTCATCGGAACGGGCAAACCGCCAGTCACATCCCTCCCAGGCACATTTATACGGCTTCTCACCTGCCAGAAGAATGAAATGTTGACAGTTAGTACAATTACCGCAATTACTCAAACAATAATAGCCTTCTGGAATTGCTCCACCAAAGCAGAAAAATTATGCATTTCACAGCAGTTATCGTTTGCTTTCTTTCGGACTTCCTGTTCTTTCCCGGCAATTACTCACACTCACTTCCCCATGTTGTTAAAGCATTGATGTAGATGTGTAAGCTAGCACTAGACCTGGTGGGAGAAGGAACTCTATGGATGATCAACTCATGGAGAGACACCAAGGTGGTTGGTGCCTTCAAAGGCAAGGCGATTTCGAAGGTGGGCGAGAAACACCATAAATAAAGGTTTTCAAAACGTCCATTTGTTGTATTGTCTTGAAATTATTGGTGAACCCATTCTTTAGGGCTTACGATATAGGAATATTGCATGACTGTGCATGATTTGGTATTGACCAGGGGTGAGATGCCTTGGAAGACCAGAACCTGTGCTTGATTTTTATGGATGCATTGCAAAGCAGCATCTACAAGAATTCAGCATAGGCTCCATTTCTCCCAGGGAATCTAACCCATGTTCTACACTGAATAACATTCCTAAGTCTTTGACCCTGAGGAAGAAGAACCTCCTTAATGCATTGGTCATATCTACAAGAATCCAACGTGGGCTTCACCTCTCCCAGGGCATCCAACCCTTGTTCTACACTGAATAACATTCCTAAGTTTTTGACCCTGAGGAAGAAGAACCTCCTGAATGCATTGGTCATATCTACAAGAATCCAACGTGGGCTTCACCTCTCCCAGGGCATCCAACCCTTGTTCTACACCTAATAACATTCCTAAGTCTTTATCCCTGAGGAAGATGTAGAACCTCCTGAATGCATTGGCCATATCTACAAGAATCCGACCTAGGCTCCACTTCTCCCAGGGCATCCAACCCTTGTTCTACACCGAATAACATTTCAAAGTCTTTATCTCTGAGGAAGAAGAAGAACTGGGACCAAAGTTGGTTTTGCTTCTCAGTTGCGAAGATACTGTAGGTCCATATTGTGGTGTAGGGGAGCACCACACAAATGGTTTAGAAGCGTTTATTTTATGATTGAAGCCCGAAGATAACCCAACATTCCTTCTTCAACAGGGATAAACAACCAACATGCACCTGTCTGGTATAATTTGTAAAGGAATGGGTAGAAGGAGCTTGATGTAGAGTTGGTTTTGTTTATCAGTGTGAAGAAAAGTCCATATTGTCTACACTATTATGTATTACGTGCACTTTAAATCTGTGTCTTCCATTGATAAATCTAGGTCCAAGATTTCTAAAATTATGGTAAATGATTCCTATTAATAAAGTTCGAAGCTTGGAAATCTTATGGTTCGATAGCTGTGATCAGTCTTCTTGTGAACTGTACATGAACTTATTTCCTTTCCTTCAGCCAACCCTTTAACTAGAGATAACAGAATCACTCTCCCTTTGAGTAAATATTCTTTTGCAGTTTGGATGCCAAAGTCCAAAAGATTCCCGTGTACTGGAATCTCAGCCTTCTAATAACTCTTCTTAATCAAAATATGAACATGGTATCTAAGAGTCTCCTTCTCTGATTGGCTGCAGTCCCTTTACAGCTGACAATATTTCACCCGGCTCCTTCAACAAATGTCAACTGAAAAATGAAATCGATATTCAGCTGATTCAGCAGAAAGTATGTATGGCCAGTCCTGTCTATGCCTACCCTGTCCGCAGGGTGACAACGCTACCGTGCAACCCCTATTACAGGAAGTGGAAAGATAATGGTTATGGGGGACATCCAGAAGAACAAAGACCACGGCTGGTGACAGATTGGATCTTATATGTCATTTTTGTCCATCGTTACAATCCAATAAATACTCTGCCGGGGTTTCTGTGTACGTGCAAACTTAAGCGACAAAATACTCCTTCATAAGAAAAACAAATATTTGACTGAAGAATGCAGCGATTTCTTATACTTTTCTTTTCTTCCCATTTACTTCTTTCTGTTAATATTTGAACAGACACACCCAGCGTGACTCACACTGCGGAATACAACCGTGAAATCTGTTATTTTACTATTCACTGGCCCTTCAGAGAATAATTTTAAAAACCGCCCCCGTCACCCCCATACCCTTTGCTCTGTATTCTTCAATCCTTTCATGATCCATGAGGCCATTGATGCCTAGAGGCTCGGGCCAAATGAACCTGTCCGTTAATATTCACAGCCTATTTGGAAATGTTTTCGTGCACAATTTGCACAGCTTTCACCCAGGATTCACACATTTTTTCAATATTTGCTGTGCCCACTGCCCCTTCTTAAAACACTGCACAAATTGACCTGTGAGGAGCGGGGAATAGCTAGATAATATACTTAGCTTTCACCCAACTTCCATAGAGCAGGGGGTGACATCGCCCTCCTGCCGGCGTGATCCCTGTAAATGCTGAGTAGCCCAAAGCTCACCTAGTGCGGGATCGTCTTCTCATGAGATTTTGGCTACTCAACATTCTCCATGATCTGGCCGGAAGGAGGGTGATGTCACCGTCGCATTGGCACTGCTATATAAAGCCAGGTAAGTATATTTTGCTAATGTTTTTCCCTGACAACGGTTTAAGGAGGGGGAGGGGGGCACCATCAAATAAACAGACCTTGCAACTAAGGCAGGAGGCTCATTTTAAGAACCTATAAGGCTTTTTTTTGTACATTGTTTTAATAATTTCCATTTTTTTCTACAAGCTGACTAAGCGTGGGATTGAAAGCCATCAGCCGTGCAAAGTGTTGGTTGGTGGCTCTCAATGGAGGAAGTTTATAAATGTACCTCCTGTATGGGGCATCATGCTGGGAGACGTCTTTATTACATTGCTGATTGGGATTTCAATGAAGAAAGGGCACTTTGTTGCCCATATGCCTCAATAATTTGCTACAAAAGTATGTTTAAAGTAAAAATGAAGCCAAAACACTTTTTAAATTTTTGGCTGGGGTTAGGGAGTGTTATTACCCCTGTAATCTGTGTCCTATTGGGGAGCTTTCCCTTCACTTCCTCTCTGATAGCCACAACAGGAAGTAGGGGAAATCCCTTTAAGGTAAAGGAGATCGCTGGTGATCACCTGAACAAGTATCTCCATTGAAAGATTTACCTTCCTGTTCTGGTGACAACCCAAAATTTGGGATTTTCTCACATTGTCAGATGCAATTACATGTCTGGAAGGCTTGTGACTTTGTATCCCTTGATCTGGTTTTAGTGTGGTGCCATCTGACGCTGACACTCCCACCACCCACCCATTATCTGAAGGTCTAAGACACCAGTGCGGCTTCATATATGAACTAACCCCTCTCCACTGCACTTACTCTATGGCCTACTTATGGCCTCTCCACTGGCCATATTGGTGCACTTTCAACAACACAGTTGAGTGATGTTTGTGATACAGATTTTATTTGCACTCAGGACAAGCTTTTGGGGGTCATCCCCCTTCTTCTCAGTCAGTTCTTGGACCTTAGAAGATGGGGGTGGTAGACTCCAAGAATCCTGAAAATGTATCTATGAGTGCAGACTGTACTCAACTGTGTTGTTGCCAAAACAGTGAGCAAAAAACACAACCCGGAGAACAGGACAATACGTTATAACTGTGTCACCTTCCTTTCTTTAACTTTCTTTGCTTTTACAGTTCACAAACATTGCAATAAAGCTGCCTTTATTCCATTTGGCCCACAGACTGAACTGTAAAAGAACACAGGTGCTTTCCTTGCTTTTCGTTGCCCAGTAACAACAAGACAACACAGTATGATTGTTTCTTTTTCCTTTACAATGTGTTTCTTTCAAGCTACCCGTGTTTGTGGTGAGAGATTGTATTGAAAAAGACCCTGTCAGTAGTTCAACTAAATGAAACTGCCAGTTCCCTGCAAGGGACGAGGTAGTATACCCCACTCTCCGGCGGCCCCCTCCATTCCATGTCTCCTACCTCCCCTCCATTCCATGTCTCCTACCTCCACTCCATTCCATGTCTCCTACCTCCCCTCCATTCTATGTCTCCTACCTCCCCTCCATTCCATGTCTCCTACCTCCCCTCCATTCCATTTCTCCTACCTCCCCTCCATTCCATGTCTCCTACCTCCCCTCCATTCCATGTCTCCTACCTCCCCTCCATTCCCTGTCTCCTACCTCCACTCTGTTTTGTGTCTCCTACCTCCCTTCCAGAAGTCTTCTACTTCCACTCTGTTATGTGTCTTTTACCTCCCCTCCATGCCATGCCTCCTAACTGTCCACCATTCCCTGTCTCCTACCTCCCCTCCATTCCATGTCTCGTACCTCCCCTCGGTTCAGTGTCTCCTACCTCCACTCCATTCCCTCTCTCCTACCTCCTCTCTGCCTTGTGTCTTTTACCTTCCCTTGGTTCCATGTCTCCTACCTCCTTTCTGTTCCTTGTCTCCTACCTTCACTCCTTTCAGTATCTCCTACCTCCCCTCCATTCCCTCTCTCCTACCTCCTTTCTGCTACATGTATCTTACCTCTCATCCATTCCCTGTCTTCTACCTCCTCTTTGCTATGTGTCTCTTACCTCTCCTGTTTTCCATGTTTCCTACCTCACCTCGATTCTATGTCTCCTACCTCCCCTCCATTCCATGTCTCTTACTTTCCCTCCATTACAAGTCTCCTACCTCCTCTCTGTTACATGTCTTCTACCTCACCTCCATTCTGTGTCTCCTACCTTCCCTCCATTTCATGTCTCCTACCTCCCCACTGTTCCGTGCCTCCTACCTCCTCTCTTATATGTCGGTCTTACTTTCCCTCCATTTTATGTCTCCTACCTCCCCTATGCTCCATGTCTCCTACCTCCTCTCTGTTATGTGTCTCCTACCTCCCCTACGCACCATGTCTCCTACTTCCTCTCTGTTGTGTGTCTCCCTCATCCCCTTTGTTTCATGTCTTCTACCTCTCCTCCATTCATGTCTCCTACCTCCACTCTGTTATGTGTCTTTTACCTCCCCTCCATTCCGTGTCTTCTACCTCCCCTCCGTTTCTATGTCTCCTACCTCCCCTCCGATCTATGTCTCCTACCTCCCCTCCGATCTATGTCTCCTACCTCCCCTCCGATCTATGTCTCCTACCTCCCCTCTGATCATCTATGTCTCCTCCCTCCCCTCCGATCTATGTCTCCTCCCTCCCCTCCGATCTATGTCTCCTACCTCCCCTCCGATCTATGTCTCCTACCTCCCCTCCGATCTATGTCTCCTACCTCCCCTCTGATCTATGTCTCCTACCTCCCCTTCATTCCATGTCTTCTACCTCCCCACTGTTCCTTGTCTTCTACCTTGCCTCTGCTCTGTGTTTCCTACCCTATTTGTCCATTCCATGTGTTCTTCTTCCCCTCTCCTCCATATCTCCTACCTCCCACGGTTCCATGTCTCCCACCTCCCCACCATCCCATGTCTCCTACCTCCCCTCTGTTCCAGCCCTGCTGCCTCCATACAGTAAGTGCCTTCAGCATTCAACATGTCCGGAAGAGTAAGATGCCTATGTCTCCCACTGCGCACTGTGGCTCTCTCCTCTGACTACTACATCCCTACAGGACTCACAGTGATTTGGAGTTGAAGGAAGAAGCCACAAAGTGCAGCAAATGGCACAGGCCATCAACCCTCCCAGAAATATTGAATGCCACCGACACAATGGCTCCTAAAATGGAGGGAAGGTAGAAGACAATAAAACTGGTGGTTTCATGTGATCAAAAGCCTGAGGTGGGTGTCTTTAAACTACAACTATCATGGGAGAAATATGGAACTTGAAGGAATGGATATGTAGTGCTGGAACCCAAGGGCTGTCCTATTGCTATCTCTATACAATAGTGCTGCAGTTGTGTTTGAACAAGGTTTAAGGATTCTGGCCTGGTGCCTTCTACACAAAATGTCCACAATTCTTTTAGTTTGTATTGTCAACAAAAGGATCTGAAATGTAAGCTCCACATCAGAGGGTGATAGTCCAGATACACATTGATTCCATTAGAAGATCAAACAGAGCCAATGCATTTTGGGAACCAGAAATTGCCCCCTTCATCAGGGCTTGAAGACGAGAAACAAGGTATATAGACTGGTTGAAGAATACAATGAATGTGGTTGACTGCTCCACCCAGCATTAATTGGTCAAAGTACCACATACATTGTATTCCTCATCCAATCTATATACATTGTTTCTCATCTTCAAGCCTTGATGAAGAGGGTGATCTCTGGTCCCTGAAACACATGGGTTCTATGTGATCTTACATTGAAATATATTTGTATCTGGACTATTGTCAGGACAGGAACTTGATCTGAACCCAGTGCCTCTGCTGTAGCTGGTGGTGGTTCTACCTGCTGAGCCACCTTAGATAGCTCCTTGCCTGATCTCCTGTGTAATCCTCAGTTAAACCTAATTTCTGCTGAACTCTGAACTCCTTGCTCCTCCCTTGAACTTCCTATTTAAGCCACGGCACTGCACTTCCTGTTTGCCAGATTATTGTGCTCCTGCCATTATCTTGCTTCCTGCTCCCTCTGTGCTACAATCCGCTCATACTGCTACCCGGGTACCGACCTTTGGCTGCTGATTCAACGACTACTCTCACCGTCTCCTGCTACATGCTTCATACCTTTTTGGCTCCTGACCTCGGCTTTTTTTGCTGACTACGCTTCTGCCTGCTCCTCCACTACTACCCTCTGCTTGTGTACCGAACCCGGCCTGTCATACTACCAATTGCCTGCTGCTTCAGCTACTGGACTCTGAGCCTGATCCCAGATCGTGACAACTATAATCCCCAATCTGCTAACCTCTAAACCTACGGCTTCATTTGTCATCAAATCTCTGCTCTGACCTTTTTTATTTTTATGCTCAGTACTGTGTCAGTGGAACACTTCCAGGTATTTATTACCCCTCACAGAGATCACATGACTCCCCCCTGACAATGCCTTCATCTGATCTCCAGAAGAACGGCACCAATGGTCAAAGGTGGAGCTTTTCTGAAAATTGATTCTTTTGCTGTAGATTGTGACATGTCAAAAATGTATCCATGCAGTCTTGTAACACTGTCTGGAATTGATCACATCTCTCTTATCGCAATGCTTTGTTTGCGGCTGAATAAACCTTCAAAGAGTTAATTTAATGGAATGTTCTATTTCCAGAAGGAGAGCGGGGTCTGCCAAACCATTGTCTTCCAACATGTAAGAAGGTCAGGCTCAGGCTCCAAACAATAGGCACTGAATTAGTGTCAGCATAGCGCCATTGTGTCAGGTCCTGGCATGCAGCATGGAATACCACGCAAGGGCTACCCCAAACAATAGGGCATCACCGGTACCGCTCTCTGCGCCCACCCCCCTCCCACCGATGGGACACTTATCTCTTCTTGTCTACAGAAATCTTTTTAAAATTGGATATTTAAAGTCTTCAGCTTCTTGACTAATGTTTTAATTTGGTCACAATGGGAGATATTGCAACGGTGTTGACATTGATGCTTGAAACATGCAAACGCAGGATTTTTTTTTTTTTTTGCAGAAGCATTTCTATCATAAATGACAGCTATCGCCATATTGAACAGCAACTGTAATAATGCATTTCATTTTATTAAAGAGCGCTGGCCCTTTAAGAAAATCCAAATAGCGGAGGCGTTTCCATGGCTTCCATGTGATCACTGCGATTGGCTGTCACAGTGATCAGGAGTCCGTCCTACCAGTTCCTGGCCATCATCAATGACAGCACAGTCACAGGGCTGGGGGTACCAGTGAGTGTGCAGTGATGCGGGAATAGAACGTAAAGAGATGAGCTCATTGGTCAGTTGCTACTTGTTCACTCTCCAATCACAGGCTGGGGGCAGGAAGGTGACCTCTACCCCCCCCCCCCCCCCCCCCCCCCCCCCCCCCCCCCACACCCCACCAAACAAGCAGATCATGATAC